AAACATTACATCAAGGACAGAAATAGCACACAGCAAGGTGTTGATGTAACAGAGGTAAGCACAGACTCTAGATCTAAACTGCTTTGCCTATTCCTAGGTAAAAATGATGAGACCAAAAAATGCTGGAAAAAGAACCCCTACCTCAGGTTCAGAGGGAGGACTAAGCAATTTCATCTATGTGTAATCCCTAGGCAGTGCATTTATCATTTGCATTCATTCCACTTTTGCAGAATGTAAAGTGGGATGTACATGTCCAGGGCTGAGGGCCATGGCCAGCCTCTAGCTACACTCATAGTCCTGATCAGAGATTGCAAGGAGATAGAGGTGTCTGTCTGAAAGGCCATGGAGCCCCCACTTGCCCTGATACAGGGAAGTATACACAGGACCTGGATGAGAATCTGACAAGTGGAGTGGGGATAGCCCACCTGCAGTGAGGATCAAGTTGAGTTCCTAAATAGAGATCACTACTGCAGGTGAATTTCTAAACTTCCAGTCTCAGGTCTCAGGGCAACAGAAACCATAGTTTGATTCAGGGACCCCAAAAGCCCAGAAGAGAATGGTCTGAAGCCACAGCTTCTTCCTTCTTAGAGGTGAACTCAAACCAAGGTCCCTGGCTATCTGTGATGGGATTCTGTTCAGGACAGAGCCCTAGAAAGCCACAGAATGTGTGGGTGTTCTGTGTGCTGTGACACTACCCAGCTCAGAAAGAAGCAGGGCCTGTGTCAGGAGTCTAGTCCTAAGGCTCACACCCCAGCTGCATCTCTCCATTCTGCCTTGGCTCAGAAGCCAGCTACAGATCCAGAACCCAGGGACTCCCATCTCTACCAGCTAGCCCCTCCCTGTGTGTCACTGTTCTCTATGTCATCAGCCTAGCTAGGCCTCTGTGACCTACTGGCTCACACTCTCATCTTCTCTGAAGCTTTTTGTTTGTTTTCAGCCAGTCCTGGGGCTTGAGGTCAGGGCCTGGGCTCTGTTCCTGAGCCTCTCTGTGCTCAAGGCTAGCGCTCCACCACTTGAGCCACAGTGCCACTTCCGGCTTTTTCTGAGTACTTTATTGGAGAGTCTCAAGTACTTTACTGCCAGGGCTGGCTTCGAATTGCAATCTTCAGATCTTAGCCTTCTAGGTAGCTAGGATTACAAGCATGAGCCACTGGTGCCTACCTGGCTTCTCTGAACTTTGACTCTTTTCCTCCTCCTCCCTACTCTAGCTCCACAACTTTATTTCCCTTAAGCTTCTCTCTCTGAACAAGATTCAGTCAGCAGGAGGAGGCTGAAAATGGAAACCCTGTGGAAGATTTTACAAGTCACCTCCTCTCTCTGGGCTTCAGTATATTCACTAATAAAATCCTAAAGTCTCTTACCATCTGAAAGCCATATCATGATGTTATTTTTTTGTCCTCCTGGGGCTTGAACTCAGGTCCTTGCGCTCTCAATTGGCATTCTACCACGTGAACCACACCTCTACTTCCAGCTTTTTGCTGGCTAATTGAAGATATGAGTCTCATGGACTTTCCTGCCTGAGCTGGCTTTGAACCATGACCCTCAGATGTCAGCCTTCTGAGTACCTAGAATTACAGACAGGAGCCACTGAGGCCTGGATCTGAAAGCTGTACCATTCTTTAGAAGAGGAAGAGAGCAGATCCCATGCTGTATGTATGCTTCTGTAATCTTCATGGCTCTGTTGCAGTAGCTGTGTACAACCACAGTTGTCAGACTGCATTCGGATACGCATACACCTCCCAGCTACACAGGGGATTAGACATGGGTGACCATAAGTGTGTCTATACATGGGATGGGTGTGTTCATGTGCAGGTTTGCTGAAGAGGGAGGATTTGTGGAAACCTGAGTGTGCCCATATGTGCTGGTAACAGGAGGGTCACAGGCAGAGACTCAATTAAGTGGAAGGGGTCATGGATCAATGCTGCTGAGTGTCATTCTGGGGAGCCATGGTTATAGAGTCCTTGTAGCTCTAACCCTTGGGCTTCCCTCCCTATTTGTCCTGCTTGCTGTCAGTCTAGCTCTAACTGGGACAGGGGAAGTTCAATTGACCTCAGGCTTTGTGTGGTTTTCTTTAAAAGTGTTTAAAATGCCTCAAAGGCCGGGGATGTAGCTCAGTGACTATATGGTTTTCATGCATGGATTTGACCTCCCAGTGCCACTACAGATAGATAGATAGATACATACATACATACATACATAGAGACTTCTGAGGCATTTTGTAGAGTAAGACCTGCTAATGGTGGGGGAAAAGGCAGACACATCAACCAGAAATCCTTAAGTCATTTGCATCCCTATGTGAAGAAAAATGAGATGTTCACTGTTCTTGTGAGGCTCAGCTCAAGAAGTGAGTCCATTGTGGGGAGGAAGTAAAAGAAGATGAGACATGGTCAAAAAGAAAATGTATTCATGACATAACTTATGAAATGGTAGCCTCTCTGTGCAATAGTAACAATAAAATCATTTTAAAGAAACCAGTCCAGCCGAGTTGGCATTGGGCATGCGTGAGTGCTAAGGAGTGATGTGGTGTGACAGGCACCTGGAGCCGGCAGAAGGCTGAGCCCCTGTGGATGGTCCTTTATGACTGAACTGAGCTGAAGTCGCTTCTGCTGGCACCCTATAAATGGGCTTGTGAGTGATCCACAAAGCACCAGATGCCTCCTCCATCCCACCCCAGGCTGGAATGTGGCTTGTGGCTCTGGGGAGCCTCTCAAGAGAATGGGTCCCAAACCACAAAAATTGCCAGTGACCCATACCTTCCTGACCCAGAAAGAGACTCCAACTGAGCCCTGAAGCCCTTGAGATAACCTGGAATGGCACCAGGCAAGTCTTGGTTTGGGGTTGGGAAAGAGAACCCATAGGCAGTCAGACCTCCATGATGCAGTTGATTCAACTGCAGAAATCCCGCCATAAATCCTGCCTGCGCTTCTCAACAAAGGTCCTTGGATGACAGATAAGGAGCTGGAAATGCTGGGCTTGAAAACCCTAGAATTTCATCATCTGGCAAGGAACACAGAGCTGGATTCCAGAACCTGGTAAGAAGGGGAAGCTCTGCTTTAGGGCAGCTATTAGATACTGGGAATGTTGGCAAAAAAAAACTTGTCTGTACCACTGGGTTAGGTCCATGCTGTCCCCATAGGGCTGAAAGGAGCCCCGTGGGACTTGTGTTAGACCCCTTCTTTAGGCAGGTGGCTCCCAGCCAGTCAGGTTTCAGTCCCATTCCTTTTGCATGAGACTATTGTGTTTGTTCAGGAAGGGGGCCTGTGGGATACCTGTGCTCCAGGCAGGGGAAGAGGAAAACAGTAGACACCCTGGCACTAGAGTGCCTTAAAAGGTAAAGCCAGGCCCTTTGGCTCTTGATGCTAATTAGCCCCACCCTGGGGCACAGAAAGCAGGAACTATTGTTCCCAACACACACTGATGACTGACATAATCCTTGCTGCAACAGAAAAGAATGTCAGCTCAAGAAGCTGAAGCTGTTCTCCAGCTTAGGTGTGACTATTCCAGAAAAGGAAGAGTCACACCACCCAGACTGTCCTAACCCTCTGTCCCAAAGTCCAGTTTCCTTGTGAAAATTTGGCCCAACCTGCAAGAGGTGTAGGTCTAGAGCGTGGCCTCGGTGCTCTCATCTTTCTGATTTATTTCCTTGCTGTGGCCAGCTTCCCTCCATCCTCAACCTCCCCTCCCCCCCACATGCATACACAGGAAGTCATCTCCAAAGAGCCAGTTTACAATCTCTTGCACACTGTGACTACGTTTTCTCCTGCACCAAGAATTACCTCCTAAGTAGGACACCAGGATGTGATTCAAGAACTATTTGGAGCTGGTTGCTGGTGGCTCATACCTGGATTCCTAGCTACTTGGGAGGCACAGATCAGGAGATTGGAGATTTAAAGCCAAAAGTTACAAGACCCCCATCTCAAACAATAGCTAGGCTCAGGGGGAGCATTTGCCATCCCAAGCAGGAGAGCAAAACAGGAGTATAGAAGTCTAGGCCTGCTTGGGCAAACAGTGATCCTATCTTAAAAATAACCAGAAAACCACAAGTGGTGCTGTGTCTCAAGTGGTAGAGCGCTTGCCTTGAGCTGAAGAGCTGAGGGACAGTGCCCAGGCCTCATGACTGACAAAAAAAAAAAAAAAAAAAAAACTACAGCAAAGAGGGCAGGAAGCATGTCTCAAGCAGTGGAGCGCCTTCTTAGCCCTGAGTTCAAACCTCAGTATAGCAATAATAATACATTATTATTATTATTATTATTTAGCAATAGCCAAGTACAGGTAGCTTGTCCTAGTAATCCTAGCAACTCAGAAGGCTGAGATCCTGAGGACTGTAGTTCAAAGCCAACACAGGAAAGTCCTTGAGACTCTTATCTCCAACTACTCACCCCCTATCCCTCCCCCCCCAGAAAAAACCTGGAAGTGAAGCTATGGCTCAGGTGGTAGAAAACGCTAGCCTTGAGCAAAACAACAACAAGAACAAGACAAACAAACACAAAAACCCAGGGCGTAGGCCTTGAGTTCAAGTTTCAGGATGAGCCCTGAAAAATTATTATTATAATTTATTCTAATAAATTATTATTGCCATTATTATTGTGGATGAGAGAATATGGATCTTGGTAATCTGCCAGAAGAGCTGGCTGGAGACCCAAGGCCGCACTCTCCCCATCCTAAAGATCCTAGTTCTACACTAAGCAGTCACCAAAACCTTAAGACGACAGGGACCCACACATCCCTGGGGGCGTTTCCCTGTTACTGTTGCCTTCTTTGTCCCCCAATAGGCCATCCTGGTTTCTGCTGAGCTGGTCTGAAGTTAGGTTTCAAGCAGTCTGGCAGCTAGGTTACTGTAGATAGAACTCTTTATTGCAAGGGAGGGATCCTTGGAAACGAGGGGGGTGCAGGGGTGGGGGGTGCAGGGGTGGGGGGGGTGGGGTGCTGGCTCAGGGTGCCCTTAGCTATCTCCCACTGCGGTGGGGGCAAGAGGGAGAGGTGAGGTGGTGAGGTGAAGGTCAGTATAGGGGTCCAGAGGGCGGATGAGACAGGAAGCACAAGTCTTTGGAACAGAAGCCAGCTTCTTCAGTCTTCTCCAGAGTGCAGCGGGAAGAGTTCAGCATCCCCGGAATCCACTGCAGCCTAAGCCCGCCACACAGCCCGGGCAGCCGCAGAGCGCGCAGCCGCGGCTGGGGGCGCTCGTGTTCAGGGCACTCGAACCCACTGTGGGCACCAGCAGGCAGGTGGCACCCGAGGCTGAGCTGGGCAGGCATTCAGGAGGGCTGCCCAGGACTAGACAGAGAATAGGGAGGATGAGCAGGAAGCCCTCCTTCCCCCCTCAACTCCACCCAGGAAACTTGACAATGGCATAATGCAAGGGACCGGATCTACAGACACTCCCACCTGTAGACAGATTACACTCCTTCAAAGATCATGACAGACAGATAGACACACGCACTCCCAAGAAAAGAAACACCCTGTACCTACATCTCACACCCAACCCCACCATGCAAGCTGCACAAAGCCAGCAACCACAGACACACATCTCCCTTCTCAGGAGGATGCCTGGGGAAAAGAGGCGATGAGATAAAAGCTGGCCTCTACCTAAATTGTGTCCCTAGTACTTACCCACATCCCCTGCCTCAAATCTCCGGCCAAGCCTGCTAGGAGAAGAAGCAAACAAGTGAGTGAATCTACCTATTAAGTTTGATGTTCTTCATTTTACAATACACTTATGGGTTTCCCTGATTCCCAGGGGTTGGGGTGTGTGTGTGTTGTTTGTTTTTGTTGTTGTTGTTTAGTTAAACTCCTTCCAGAGCTTTAAACTCAGTGTCTCTCCTGCCTTGATTCAAAATGCCTCAAAATGACTCTTCTGAATGCTCGCTTTGGCAGCACATATACTAAAATTGGAACGATACAGAGAAGATTAGCATGGCCCCTGCACAAGGATGACATGCAAATTCATATTTTTAGGAGGAGGCAACAATGCTTGATAAGAAATGTACTCATTGGGGCTAGGAAGGTGGCTCAGTGGTAGAGCACTCACCTTGCATGCTTAAGGTCCTGGGGTTTGATTCCTCAGCACCACATAAGCAGAAAAAAAAGCCGGAAGTGGCGCTGTGGCTCAAGTGGTAGAGTACTAGCCTCGAGCTGAAGAGCTGAGGGATAGCACCCAGGTCAAGAGTCCAGGCCCCACGACCAGACCACCCCCCCAAAAAAAGAAATGTACTCATTACCTTGCTCATGTAATTGTAACCCCTCTGTACAGTATTTTCACAATAAAAAAAGAGAAAAAGAAAAAAAAATGACTCTCTGAGTGTGTGCTCGTGTGTGTGTGTGTGTGTGTGTGTGTGTGTGTGTGTGTGTTTGCCAATACTGGGCTTGAACTCAGGGCCGGAGCACAGTCCCTGAGCTTTTCCACTGAAGGCTGACACTCTACCACTTAAGCCACAGCTCCGCTTCTGGTTTTTTGGTGATTCATTGGAGATAAGAGTTTCATGGACTTTTCTAATTGGGCTAGCTTTGAACTGTGTGTTTGGGATCTCAGCCTCTCATGTAGCTAGGATTACATGAGTGAGCCACCAAGACCTGGCTTGTTGGCTCTTTTTGATTCCCCCTTTCTACATCTCCAAATTCTTTTCCTGAGTGTTGCCTTTTTGAAAGCAAAAGATCCATCCTTTCTTTGGCTTAACTTAAACCTGGGAGGCAAAGAGGGGAGAGAGTATTTGCAACTTTTAAAGGAGACCATAGAAAAGATGGCTCAATTAAATGAAGAATATTGTCCAAGCCCCGTCCCATCATTCTCTATCCATGTGTCCTTGGTCATTTATCCACCTGGTGACTTAAGTTTCCTCATCTATAACATGAGCTGAAGGGTTCCTCCCTCCCAGGCTTCAGAATAACTAAAGGAGGTAACAAATACAATGCACCTGCCACAGGGTGGGCATCCAGCCCTCTCCTTCCCACCTGGTGTACCCAGCTCCCTGGTAGCTCTTTGATCCCACTGTTGTCTGCAGGGAAAATTCAAACACATTGGCTTCCCCAGGGCTTGGGACCCCATGTCACATTGGGGGACCTTATTCCCACTGGCTAGACCCTTGGTCTCTGAGCTGTCTCAAAGGCAACCTTATCCCTGCTGTCTGATAGTGGGGATGGTGGCTTGGTGACTCTCCCTACCCCAGTTGCCCATTAATTAGGCCTTTTTTGTGTTCAAAGATCTGCAAGATGGTAGGAATGTGGCTGAAAGAGAGCTTGGACTCCTAGGTTATCTCTCCTAGCCCCTTACCTGCTACCCCACACTTCTCACCCAGCCATCAGGACCACTTTCCACCTCTCACCTGTTCTCCTCACCCTCCAGCAGCTTGCGGTAGGTGGCAATCTCAAAGTCCAGGCCCAGCTTGACAACCATCAACTCCTGGTACTCGCGCAGCTGTCTTGCCATGTCTTGCTTGGCCTTCTGCAGGGCAGCCTCCAGCCAAGCCAGCTTGCCCTTAGCACTGCCTGAAGCCCTCTCCTCCTGGAGAGCCACCAGGTCCTTGTTTTTCTCTAGTTCACAGATCTGGGAGTGAAGGAAAGAGCGAGGACAGAAGAGTATCTTTGGCCTTCGCTCCTTTCCCTCAAGGATCTAGACCTTTCCCAGAGGCCAGGTAGGCCAAAAAAGGGTTTGGAAATGGATTGAGCAGGCCTGTTCTGAAACATGTGTGTGTGTGTGTGTGTGTGTGTGTGTGTGTGTGTGTGTGTGTGTGTGTGTGCACATGTAAACCTCAGGCTGAAAGAATCTATCTGCTCTTTGCTACCTGGAATGGCTGAGGAACAGCCCTTTGTGTCTAGCATGGTGACACCTGCCATAGGAGCAAGGTTTAGGGAAGTTATCTAATGCTCCTTAACAATGTACATCTGGGGCTAGTATTTCATATGGAAATAAGCAGGAAGTATCACCACTATAAGACTCTAGAGTGGGTGATCTTGAGGAATAATAGTAATAGTAAACAGTTATCTCAGTGAGGTAGGCCTGCTATGTGGACAATCAGCAAAGCTGTGGCGGATGAGACACTGAGCCACCATGGGCCCACCTACTCGGTGTGGCTACTCGGCCACACTCAACCAGCCTGTCCCTCTCAAAAAAGTCATCACTCCTAGCCAGGAGCTCCTCCATCTAAGGAATGGCCCTTAAGTCTGAGATAATTGAAAGGTGAGAGCGGAAAGGGATGTGAGGAATAAACCACAGGGGTCTCCAGGGATAATAGATGATGCGAGAGGAAGAGACTGTCCATAAGAATCCTCTCCTTCTGCAGCCAGAAGCCTGAGTCACAAACACAAATGCCTGCAGGGCTCAAAATTAATACAGACTTAAAGAAAAATAAATAAGTGGTGGTGGCTTAGGCATATAATCCTAACTACTCAGGAGGCTGAGATCTGAGGATGACAGTCCGAAGCCAGTCCAGGCAAAAAAAACGTCCATGAGACTCATCTCTAACTAAGTACTAACCAAAAAACATGAAATAGAGGTATGGCTCAAGTGGTAGAGCATCAGCCTAGAGCAAACACAGCTAAGAAACAGCACCCAGACTCTGAGTTCAAGCCCCAGTACTAGCAAAAAAAATCTTTGATATTTAAAAGATAACACAAGCAAGCATACATAGTCATGTATATACGCATACATGTTAGTTACTTACTCTCACATAAAATCTTAAATACAGATACACATGAGCTACACAGTAGCCACATTCCTGAGCTCACCTGAGTCTTAGCCCCATCCTTCTCTACTGTCAGCTGCTGGATGGCCTGGTTAAGCCTGTTCAGATCCTCCTTGCCGTGTCTCAGGCTCTGCCTGTGTTTCTGCATGGTTGACTTTATCTCCTCACACTGGGACCACAGCAACAGAACATAGAAGTGGGCAGGGAGAGAAGATCAAAAGCAGTTTCAGTGACCACCCCAGCTACCTGCTGTCCCAGGCAGGTCATCTTGCTTTTCTGAGCATTCTTTTCTCCATGTGTGAAATGTGATCTTTCCTGTCTCCCAGAGTTATTGGGGAGGATGTAATGTACTTGGCCAGCCAGGCCTGAACAAGCCAAAAGGGAGCCTGCAGTCAAACTCACCAGGCAACCATCTGCTAAAGGGATCTTTAGCACTGAGGCCACAGAAAGGGTTGTCCCAGGAACAGCATCATTTAGTCTCTATGAGATCAGCTCTAGGTGGTGACTGGAGTTGTACAAAAAGCATTTAATAAAATCCAGTGGAGCTAGATATGGTGGCTTGCGCCTATAATCTCATCTATTCTGGGAACAGGGGTTCTTAAGATTACAGTTTGAGGTCAACCTGGACTAAAAGCAAGAACCCATCTCAACCACAAAGCTGAGCATAATGGCAAGTATCTGTGATTCCAGCTATGCAGGTGTATAAGTCAGAGGATCAAGATCCAAGGCAATCACCAGACCCAAAAAAAAAAAAAAATGCAAGACCCTAGCTGAAAAATAACTAAAGCAAAAAAAAAAAAAAAAGCTAGGGTGTGGTTCAAGTGGTAGAACACCTGTCAGGCAAGTGAAAAGCCCTGAGTTCAAATCCAAGTACCACCCTGACCCTACCCCTAAGCCACCAGGAATATGAGGAAACACCCTTGATTAATATTATGAGTAGGAACCCAGGGATGGATCCAATGCCAGTCCATCTCCAAGCTCAAAGCCACGAATGGCAACTGCTATCCTCAGGGGTGAGATGATGTCAGTAGACCTCCTGCCTCTATAGGTAACTCTCAGGAGCTGAGGCCAAGCAGACTCTTAGAGGGATCCATTCAGCAGATCTGGGTAGGACCCAAGTCCCCTCACCCCTGGGTGACCAAAGGTGGCCAACTCTCACCATGATGAAAGAAGCTATAGCCTCCTTCAAGCCCAACTCGAGCCCAAAATGCTCCCAGAATTCTCGCTTCTAAAGCCTCTCCTTTCTGGGGGCTTTGTGACCTCACCTAATTACAGCTGTAATGTTCCGATTGGAGAACAGGAAAGGCGTAAAGCAATACCGTGAACCCAGAGGGGAAGACAGAAGTGTATGGGCTGACACGGGAAAGTGAAGACAAGGGGAAGAAGGGGAAGATTTTTTCAGGCCAGAGTTTGGGCTTATGGTGGGGCAATGGGGAGACACAGCATATGCTTGAGCAGAAAAATGGCTTGCTGTGAAAGATCATTGAGGAAAAGCATCCTGGGTGATGGACTGGAGAATGAGAAATGGGCTAGGGAGATCATCTCCCAGTCAGTATGAAAGCTGAGGTAAGGCTTTAGTGTTAGAGGAGTGAGCAGGGACTAGCGAACAGAAGCTGCCATCAGCATTAGCCTTTGGTTTTATTAATTTCTTATGCATGCAAAAGAGCATCTATAGCATACACTTAATGATTGAAATAACAATAATAATTTCTTTAGCCAGGAGGCAGTGGGTCATACCTATAATCATACTTATGAAAGATCTGCGACCTGAGTATCATGGTTTAAATGCATCTCGTGCCAAAAAAAAAAATCTATGAGATCTCCAATTGGCCACCAAAAGCTGGCTCAAGTGGTAGAGCAATAGCCTTGAGTAAAAATCCTAAAGACAATGCTCAGGCCCTGAATTCATGCCCCAGTATTGGCACACACACACACACACACACACACACACACACACACACACACACACACACACACACTAAATCTTTGTGTTCCCAGTGGTAATTTCAAAGCTCCATGGGGTCCCTTGCTGATCCCACCACCATATATTTCTTAGCCCTTCCATCTCCAAGTAACCACTATCTTAGTTTCTTATACTAAACATTCTCTTGCCTTTATGTTTTGTCATGCATAGATCTCTAAACCAGTGTCTAATTTTGCCTACTTCAATCTCTGTGCAATAGAATCACACTAGTTTTATGCTTCCATGACAACATTTAATTGTATATATGCTAGATTAATAAAAATTTTCTCATAAGTCTTTTTTTGGGGGGGGGGCAGGGGTCCAGTCGTGGGGCCTGAACTCTGGGCCTGGGCGCTGTCCCTCAACTCTTCAGCTCAAGGCTAGCATTCTACCACTTGGGCCACAGCACCACTTTCGGCTTTTTTTTTCTGCTTATATGGTGCTGAGGAATCAAACCCAGGGCCTCATGCATGCAAGGCAAGCGCTCTACCACTGAGCCACCTTCCCAGCCCTCTCATAAGTCTTTGATGTGCTATTTTTTTCTTCAGTATTTTTTCCTATTCTTTGGACTGGAAAATTTCTATGCATCTGTCTTCAAGATTCCTGGCTGTATTGTAATGGGAAGAGCAGAGCAAAGGTAGCTGTCAGGCCATTAGAAGTAAAGCCCCACCTCCAAAGATCCAGCCTAGGGGAAGACAAGAACTTGGAGACATCTCTCAGACTGGGCTCCCATCACTGCCTTCGGATGGACTATTCAAGCATTTGACATGGGAAAGCAACCCACACCTCATTCCCTTACATAAACTTCTAGCTACTTCCTCCTTCCCCCCCTCCTTCCATCTCCCCAATTTTATTTCCATCTCACACACCCAAAGAATGAAGACTACTTACTTACTTATTATCTGCTCGAGCCTGTGCATAATAAATCAATAAATCTTAGAATTTATTTCCTACTGTATTATTTCATCAGAAGAACCAAGGATTGCTTCCAGGCCATGTACATATGCATGCTCACATGCATACACACACATGTGCGCACACACACACACACACACACACACACACACACACACACCAGGGGAGAGCACAAGGATAGGCTCACCGTACCACAGTGACGGTCAGGCACAGATAAACTGGACATGAGTCAGACAAAAAGCCGCAAGAGCAACTGCAAACAGGTTTTCAGTGTGAGGGCCCCCCAGTAACAGGTTAGACAGCTAGTCATAAGACTTCTGCCGGATAAAGGAAACATTCCATATAAGGAAGACTGTGAACACTCAGTCAGGTACAATGGAACCAAGTTCACCTGGAGGCTCTCAAAACACCTGTCTCTGACACCTTTAATCTACTATGTAAATCCATTCTTTAAATGTTTCATTATTATAATTTTTATTGCTAGAATTTCTACTTTATTATTTTTCTATAATTCTCACTTGTTTTCTCATTAAGATCATATATGCCAACTGGGCACTGGTGGTTCATGCCTACTATTAATTCTAGCTACTCTGGAGGTGGAGATCTGAGGATCATGATTTGGAGCCAGCCCAGACAGGAAAGTCCCCGAGACTCTTATGTAATGAACAAGCAAAAAGTCAGAAGTGGAGCTGTAGCTCAAGTGGTAGAACACTAGCCTTGAGAAAAAAAACAAAACTCAGGGACAGTGTCCAGGCCCTGAGTTCAAGTCCCAGGACTAGTACAGTGCTTTTCTGCTCATACAAGGAAAGCTAATGTCCACAGGCTGTGGGCATTGGTCTCAGGTCTCCCTTGCCTACATAGGCACAGTTAACTCCTGGAAACACAAAAAGACTGTTGAGTTCCTACTCACCATTTTCCCATTCCCATTCTTAGCCCTGCACAGCAAGTTAAAGGAATAGGTACAGAAGTTGGGGGTCAGAGAAATTCACTCTCCCTTTAACTCCAGCAGGACAAAACTATGTGACCTTGATGCATTCTTCCATCTCTTTGAGCCTTTCCCTGAAGGTAGTTCTAAAGAATTCTTTCCCCATGGATCTAGTGGGACAGAGAAAAATGGCCTGACATGGGAACCAGCCAGGTTCCCAGACCAAGTGTTCCCATGCTTACCACTTACCTGCTTGGTTGTGACCACATTCTGGGCTGGGGTCCTGCACAAAAGGAAAGAGATTTGGAACAAGAGAAACTATTCAGTGACTTATTAGTAACAGCCAATCTGGTGTGTCAGATCCCTCTCCCAGGATATCTGAAACATCACTCTCCACTCGTTTCGGTGTCCTCTAACTTGAGCAGATGTTACATATTGAAAGATTTTGCTCTTATTAACCATGTAATATAATAAACTAATTTTCCTGAGCCTAGATCCAGGGAAGTGGTGATTATGAACCGTGGAGTCACATGGAGAGTTTTGTAATCTTTGTATCCTCAGCATCTAACACAATAATGGAACAGAATTAGTTCCCAGAAGTAGTTAAGGGATGGAAGATGGAGGATGGATGGATGACAGAGAGATGGAGTTGTAATCCTAAGAAGTTCACAATGAGATGGGGAGAGGCTCTTAGGTGACATTTTAGTATGTCTGCTGTCTTGTCTTCTGAAACCTTGGCAGAATTCTTCTGAGTGTACTTAGCAAGTCAAGCTCAGCCAATGCCTATGAACTGTATTTTGTGAGGTAAGTAAGGAGTAGAAGGGCAGCTGGGTTATCATGCTCCCTTTGGGGGGTGTCATAACCTTTCTGTCACTCAGTTTAGGCTATCTATGACCAAAGACAAAAATAGCCATCTTCATTCTGGGAAAAGCACCCTGGCACTTTTGAGAAACACAGGCTACCAGAGACTCCCTCAGGCAGAGCCTAATAAGGTCCAAGTTCAAATCCAAGGTCATCTGGAACATTTGGCCCCTGACATGGCCTGGAGGATATATATTCACTCTTAGGAAAATCAGCCACACAACCAAACAGTTATTTGTTCAGCTCTTCCTCCTGCAAGCCTCATGAACTTGGTGATCACGTGTAAGCAACTGGCTTGAAAGCTCCAAATAGCTGGGTCTCCAAGCTGCCCACCTCCATGCCTTCAAGACTGCCTGTCTCCTACCAAACAGTCTCCCCCTCAGTTTGGCCAAAAACCATGGACTTATTCTTTACCTGGGCTCTGTTGGACTGGATGCCCTTCAAGATAGATTGCCCCATAAATGATGAGCCTGGCCAGCCTACAGAGCCTGAACTCAGGGGTTAGTGGAGAACATTCTTGTGCAGGAGGCCACAGCCCCAGACCTGTAAGAGCAGCAGAGGCCATTGGGAGCTCTGAGATGGTTACCAGGGCAGGTGCTCAGGGCCACTCACAGGCAGTGGAGAGAAAATAGCAACAGTAATAAAAAGCAGTTAGCTGGGCACTGATGGCTCATGCCTGTAACCCTAACTATTCAGGAGGCTGAGATGTGAGGATCATAGTTCAAACCCAGCCAAAGCAGGAAAGTCCATGAGACTCTTATCTCCAATTAACAGCAAAATCGGAAGTGGTGCTATGGCTCAAAGTGGCAGAGCATTAGCCTTGGGCAAAAAAGCTCAGGGATAGTTCCCAGGTCCTAAGTTCAAGCCCCACGACCAACAACAACAGCAGCAACAATAATAATAAATAAAAGCTGCTACATTGTTTTGGTTATTTACCTTACAGCAGGTATTGCATTGCTTTTCACATATACCTCACTCTGCTTGCAATATCTTTGTGCTGGTTTGATCACCTCAGTTCTAGTTACAGAGAAAACTAAGGCTTATGTGTACAATTTCACCTAGAGGTACCAGAGCTGAGATGAATCAAGGGCACACTTGAGGATGAGATGTATTTAAAGAATGGGTACACTGATGGTTAAGATGTTTCACAATGAAGTCTCTCTCTCTCTCTCTCTCTCTCTCTCTCTCTCTCACACACACACACACACACACACACACACTTTCTGTGCACTGCCCCACTCTGAATTCCCCTTCACATCTCTTAGCACAGCTCTCTACAGTTCTCAGCACTCAGTGCTCAGCTCGACACTTTATTCACTCCTACATCCCTCCTTACCCACTCTCTGGCCTCAGCCAGCTCCTTCCCCAGCCTTCATCTATCCCCTGTTTTTCTACCAAAGTAGATTGGGATTGCCACTCCTACATGTGCTCTGACCTCCTTCATTTGCTTGTCTTTGCCTACTCCATTTCCTCCTCCTGAATCATCCTCCCCTCTTTCTGTTCCTCACACCTTTCTCTGGCCCAACTCTGTTCTCATTCTCCAAAAATCCAGCCCTGGCCTGGTCCCTAGATTCCAGTGCTGCAGGCCCTTGTAGCTTTGTATGAAGCTTCTCCATGTAGTCTATGTAGGGGGTGGGGTGAACTATAATGTGAACCTGGTTCCTGATAGGCCCTCGGGTGATTTGTACTTTGTGCCCCAAGTTGGTTCTTCGAAGTCAAGAAGAGATATAAGGACCAAGGCAGGCCATTAGTGCCACACCCATAGACTGGTGGCTGCAGATGAAAGGGGCAGAGACCCTTTCTATCTAGAAGATCTGGTTACTGGTTAAGAATGGCAAAGCCCAAGGGCTGCAGGCTTGGCTCAAGTGGCAGAGAACATGTTGAGAAAGTATGAGGACCTAAGTTCAAACCCCCGTATCTACAAAAAGCTACGTGCTGGTGACTTACGCCTGTAATCCTAGCTACTCAGGAGGCTGAGATCTGAGGATCACAGTTCAAAGCCAGCCTGGGCAGAAAAGTCTGTGAGACTCTTACATCCAATTAACCACAAAAAGCCAGAAGTGGAGCTGTGGCTCAAGTGGTAAAGCACTAACCTTGAGCACAAAAGTTTAGGGCAGCACCCAGCCCCAGAGTTCAAGTACCAGGATTGACAAAAAAAAAGAATGGCAAAACCCTACTCTTCCCAGCACCTGTCACTAGCAGCCCTCTTAGGGAAAAGTCTGCCTTCTTCTCTTTCTCCTATTTCTCCTCCTTCTGCATGTCTTCCTCCTCCTCCTCCTCTTCCTCCTCCTCCTCCTTTTTCTTCTTCCTTTTCCTATGCTTTCTCTTCTTTGTGTGTGTGTGTGTTGTGTATGTGTGCATACTGGAGCTTGAACTAAGGACCAGAATGCTATCCCTTAGCTTTCTGGCTCAAGGCTGGTACTGCATCATTTGAACCACAGCTTCATTTTTAGCTTTCTAGTGGTTTATTGGAGACAAAGAGTCTCATGGAGTATTCTGATTGGGCTAAAGATCTAAAGATCTCAGCCTCCTGAGTGGCTAGGATTACAGGCACAAGCCACCAGTGCCTAATGCTTCCTCTCATCTCTCTCCCTTGAATCTCCAGAGTAATAAAGGAGCTATCAGAGAGCATGGTTTTATGAAACTGGATCTGATTAATTCTAGTGTTCTGGGATCCCACTGAGTTCTACATGCCAACTCTTTCAACTTCATCCCCTTTAGGTTGTGTTCTTAGTGGCACAATTCAGCCTGCAGCTGTCCCATCTCTTTGGACTTTTAATGCACTTTATTTTCCATGTAGATGAAGATGGATTATTAACATCCTCATTGCCTGAGACAGCACAGAAAGCCTACTTCATCTACTCACCCATGCCCAGATAGGGTCCAAGCCACAAGCACATAAGTGACTATAAATCTAATTTAAATCCTATAAGGTAAGTCTCCCTCCATTAGTGGGGGAGACCCAGGGGAAGATTCTTTCAACACTATTATTCTCCAAAAAGAAGGCTCAGGCGTGATTCAGTGGTAGAGCAAGATTTTAGCATGCAGAAGTCCCTGGGTTCCATCTCAGCACCAAAAAAGGAAAAATAGAGTAGAAATGGTCTTACAGCCAAGCCTTAGTCACATAATCACAGCTGGTGACCCATGCTGAGGCTTTGGAAGGGAGCCTGTGACATGAGCTGTTGAACTCTGTCTTCTAGAGAGAACTGTGGCTGGGCTTAAACTGCTACAAAATAGACCAGGGCTGGATCAAAGGAAATTAAACCCAGGAGAGTGTGGAAAAGAGCAAAGGAGGCCATCGGACACTCCACGGAAATGAGGTACTAGGCAGCCTGCAGCCACGGATGGCCCTGATGACCTTGCAGTTGCAAGATTTAATTGCTGCATGCACAATAACTCATCTTTTTTAAAAGCAAAGGAAGCTCAAGGTGACAGGCAAGCTTCTCTTTAATGCAGGTTGCTGAGTACACACTATAGTTTCTTCTGCCAATAATGGGCACATAATTAGCCTCCTTTATAATGGCATCCATTGAGGGGAACGTTTAGGATCAGGCTGACTTCTCTGAGAGTCCCAAACCCAAAAAAGCCCATGCAAAATACTCAGCCTCATTCAGACCCCAAAGACACAGACCTGGGAGAGACCAGTATGGAGGAGGGCTGGAATTTCCTTTCAGATAATAAGATCTTCAGTCACTGGAACACTCTGAGCTAACTTCCTGGTCAGATAAATGGACACAATAATACCAACCTCACTAGGAAGACTGCTCTGGCAGTTAGCTATTGGAGATTATATATTAAAAAACCTTCCACATAGCCGGTCGCCGGTGGCTCACGCCTGTAAGCCTAGCTACTCAGGGGGCTGAGATCTGAAGATCATGGTTCAAAGCCAGCCCAGGCAGGAAACTCCGTGAGACTCTTATCTCCAATAAACCACTAGAAGACTGGAAGTTGCACTATGGCTCAAGTGGTAGAGCATTTGCCTTGAGCTGAAGAGCACAGGGAAAGTGCTCAGGTGAACATATGTATATATACCTGTATACATAATTGTACATATGGATAAACATAGAATATGAGTCTAAATAAGAAACTAAGAAGGAAAAGGGTAAAGGAAAGATAAAGGGGAATAGTTTTGAGATCCACCGCAACTATATATTTTTTTCCAGTACTGAGTCTTGAACTTAGGGCTTGGGCACTGTCCCTGAGCTTCTTTTGCTCAAGGCTAGCACTCTACCATTTAAGCCACAGTGCCACTTCCAGCTCTTTCTGTTTATGTGGTACTGAAAAATTGAACCCAGGGCTCCATGCATGCTAGTCAAACACTCTACCACTAAGCCATATTCCCAGCCCACTGCAACTATATTTAAAAACAACATAAAGAACTTCAATGGCCAGGCACCAGTAGCATTCCTGTAATCCTAGCTACTCAGGAGCCTGAGCTCTGAGGATCCTTGTTTGAAATCAGCAAGAAAATCTTGGGACTCTTATCTCCAACCATCCACCAAACACTCAGAAATAGAGGTTTGGCTCAAGTGGTTGAACACTAGCCTTGAGCAAAAAAGCTAAGGGACAGCATCCAGGTTCCAAGTTCAAGTCTCAGTAACAATACATACACGCACACACACATACATACCCACAGAGGAGGGGAATAACAAAAGCTATTGATCTGCATTGCGGGGAGAGAGAAAGCAGAAAGAATCTCTATTGGCAGAGATGAGTACAATGAGTTAACATGGGTGAAGGAGAATGAATATGATCCAAATAGATTGTTAAAGGCAAGTGTCACAATAAAACAATGAAATCTGTTGACATTGTATTAGAAAGGGGGAAGGTAGTAAGGGAGAAGTACAGAGAGGGGGTTGATTGGAATATACTGTATACAGGTATAGAAATCTCAATGAAAATCCTCTCTTGCATAACTCATGTATGCTAATTTTGAAGAGGCCAGCCTTCCACACAGCGCTAGACACACTGTTGGCACTCCATCAACCAACATAAGCCCCTTCCCTGCCCTCATCTTTGTGCAGGAGTGAATAGCAATCCTTGTGAGGTGTAAGGAGGGGGTAGGGGGGAAGAGGAAAGGAAGAAAACCTTACGAGGAGAGGAGGTAGAAGCCGAGTTCCCAGAAGGAGTAAAAGAGAAAGTTTGGGCCCCAAGGGATACAGGAAGAGTGACAGATTAACGATAGTAGAATAAACAGAGCAAATAAATACACAAGCAAACATTTGTGGAGCTCTTAGTAAATGCCAAGTAGAGCCTAAATGCTTGGTGGGGTGGGGGGGGGGGTGGCATGATCTCATTAGATCCTTCCAAGGAGACTCAGGTGGGTGCCATTACTATAC